AGGGCTGGGAAAGGGGAGCAGGGGAAGGGGACATCCCCAAGGCACAGCGCCGGCTGCCTCCTCCCCCCGCTCCCTTTCGGAAGGACGAAGACCTTGAGACACAAAAGATTCCGCACCGCGCAGCGGAGTAACCTGTGCCTGACCTCCCGGGCCACCTAAATCCCGCCTGGATTTCCGCGGGGATCGCTCCAGCTCCCGCCGCAGAGCCGCAGCGGAGCCGGCTGGATCCCTCCGGCGGCGGGCTGGGAGGAACCATGGAAGGAGGCTCGGGAAGGAGGCACCGGAGGCAGCCAAGCGCGGGCAGGTGCCCCCTCGCTCCCCAGCCGAAATTCCGGGCAGATTTGACACGCACGCAGCGACAGCGGGGCCTCGGGCAGAGCCAGCAATCCTTCGGTGCCATTGCATCACGGGGGGAGCCGTTCCTTAAGTTTGATTTCCAGGATAACCCCCCGCTCCAGCCGCGCCGAACGGAACCAGGTTATTAAAGCGCAAAGCGATGCTGTGGCTCCTCTCTCTCCCCGCAATCCAGCGGAGCTGCCAGCTCCCTGCAATCCGAGCGCCTCTCAGATCCCTTCCCGTTGGAGAAAAAAAATCCCACATTTTTTGGCCATTTTGCTCCCCCTCCCCCAGCAGAGCCCCTTCCTCCCCCCCCCTCCCCGTGAGGACGTGCCCTCCACCACCACAGAGAGGGAGAAGGGGCCGCTCACCTCATTTATTGCCGAGGGTTGTCGGAGGTCGAGGAGGCGAATAAAAGGTTTAAATCCCGCAGGAGGCCGAAGGAGACGGAGAGGAGGCGATGCCCGAGGCGGTGGGAGCAGGACGCCGGCGCCGCTCGGCTGTGCAGCTCCTCTAAACCCTCTGAATCCAATTTTTTTGGGGGCCGTCTGGAGGGCGGGATGGAGCGATCCCTTCAGCTCCGCTCACCTGCTTCCCACCGAAACCTCTCCTTCCGTCTTTTCCCCAGCAGCAGCTTCATGGCCGGGGCTCGGGGGCTTTGGGGGGCTGTTTGTCCTTGGAGGCTGTAGCCATGGAAAGCCCCTGAAATCCCTCCTAAGGAGGAGGGATCCGCGTGTGACGGACACGGGGATCTGCCAGTCACGGCCCTGCCCGGCACAGCCCCGGGGGGGGGGGGGGGGGGGGAGGGGGGGGAGGGAGGGGGGGGCTGGACTGGGTTGGGGGGCACAGGAATGGGGGGCTAGACAAGGATGGGGGGCTGGATAGGGATGGGAGGGCTGGGAGTCACTCTGGGGTTTGGCTCTTCCAATGGGATGAGGGACAGAGGTCCCTTTTTAGCTTGTTTTCCAAACATTCTGGTGTTTGTGGCTTCCCAGAGGCCACAAGTGTGTCAATGCCATGGGGATGACAGGGTCATGAGTGTGTTGGGGCTCAGCACCGGTGTCTGAGCACCAAAAGCCCCCTGGGCTGTGAAAGGAGGACACACGTGAGATCAGGGGTGATTTTTGGTTTGTTTTCACATTTTGGGATGGCTGAGCCGCATTCTCTCACCCTGACGGGCTGATTTCTGCCGGGACACAAAGTCCAGCAGGGGAAAAGCCCAGAGCTGTGCCTGCTCTTGGGATACAGCTGGGATCGGTCCAGAAAAGCAATCACAGAATCTCAGAATGGTTTGGGTTGGAAGGGACCTTTAAGTCCATCCAGTGCCACTGCCTGCCATGGGCAGGGACACCTCCCACTATCCCAGGTTGCTCCAAGCCCCGTCCAACCTGGCTTTGGACACTTGAAGGGATGGGGCAGCCGTAGCTGCTCTGGGCAATCTGTGCTAGGACCTCACCACCCTCACAGGGAAGAATTCCTTCCCAGTATCCCATCCAACCCTGCCCTCTGCCAGTGGGAAGCCATTCCCTGTGTCCTGTCCCTCCTTGTCCCAAGTCCCTCTCCTGCTCTCCAGGAGCCCCTTTAGGCACTGGAAGGGTCTCCCTGGTGCCTTTGTATTGCGCTGCACGTCGTGACAGCGTTGGGGACAACCAGGGGGCACAACCAGGGGGTCGATGTGCCGCAGTGGCGACCAGGCCGCGGTGGGGCCGTTGCCATGGAAACAGCGGGGTGAGCTCCCGGGGACCACAACCCCCGTCAGCCCTTGCGGCGGGGCGCCGGCTGCGATTGGCCGGCAGGAAGGAGCCAATGGGCAGCGGCGTTGTTGGCGGGCGGGGCGCGATGGCGGCGCTGGGCCCGGTGTGGGGCCGCAGGTACCGATGGTGCCGCTGCCCAGGGGGAGAACGGGGGGTGAAACCCTCGGGAGAGCGGCGGGACAGCGAGGAGAGAACGGACCGGGGGGGCGAGAGGGGTGTGGGGGGTCAGGGCTGATGGGGAGCGGCTGAGGGAGCTGGGGAAGGGGCTGGAGCAGCAGGAGCGGCCGAGGGAGCTGGGGGGGCTCAGCCTGGGGAGAAGGTGGCTCAGGGGGGACCTTCTGGTTCTGCAACCCCCTGACATGAGGGGGGAGCTGGGGGGAGGTCGGGCTCTACTCCCAGGGAACAAGGGGCAGGAGGAGAGGGAACGGCCTCAAGCTGTGCCAAGGGAGGGTCAGGTGGGACATTGTGGGAATTCCCTCATGGAAAAGGGGTGTAAAGCACCGGGAAACACCGCCCGGGGTCGTCATCCCTGGGGGTGTCCATAAAACACGCGGATGTGACCTTTGGGGGCAGGGTTGGTGGTGACCTTAGTGGTGCTGGCTTGACAAATACCAATGTCCTTTCCAGCCGTAGCGACTCCGCGGTTCTATCCCGTTATTCCCGTACCTCTCCTCACTCTTTTTATCTTCCTCCCTTTTCCCCCCCCAGGTTTTCCCTGCTCCAGCGCGCCCTCCCCTGCCCCTTCCCGCTGCTTCCCAACTCCCCGGAGCTCCTCCCCGGCCACCCCCCCGCCCTCTGCCGCCTGCCGGGGGCTCCCTGGAGGTTCCAGCAGCTCCGCGGCAAAGCCCGAGGGAACGAGTACCAGCCCAACAACAGGAAGCGCAAGAAGACGCACGGCTGGATCCGGAGGATCAGCACCCCCGGCGGCATCGCCGTGATCCTGCGCCGGATGCTCAAGGGCAGGAAGTCGCTGAGCCACTGAGGGACGGCCCCGAACCCGCCGGGAATTTGGGATGGTCCGGCTGAGCCCAGGGGTTGGTGCCTGGGGGTTGTTCCTGGGGCTTTGGCCAGGCCTTTAAATTGTAAATTTAAATTGCTCCTTAAAGTGTACATTTGAATTGTTTCTCGAGTTGTAAATTGTGGCTGGTTTCGCTTGTGTTTGTCCTGGGATTTCGTGGTTGTCCCGGGATAAACACCCAAAGTGTGGTTGAGCCTCTCTCCTCGATTCCCTGCACTAATTATGGTGGAAAACTTAATGGGAAGAGGGAATCTGGGGTCACAGCTGCTGGGGAAGGATGCTGTAGAAGGATAGAAGGATTCAGAGAAATGGTGGGAATGAAAATAGGGAGGGAATTCAGATTTAATTCATGTCACACCTCTGCCCTTTTCTGCTCCGGCCCCCTGAGCTGCTCCAGGCTCGGGGTCCTGGCTCTCAGCAGCAGCTCTGGGTTGGGGATGGGATTAGGTTGGACATTAGGAAGAAGCTCTTGGCATCAGGCCTTGGAAAGGGCTGCCTGGGGACATGGTGGAGTCACCATCCTTGGGGGGGTTTGAGGAGAGACTGGATGTGGCACCTGGTGACAAGGTGGTGTTGGGTCATGGGTTGGACTGGATGATCTCGGAGGCCTTTTCCAACCTGGTTGATTCTGTGATTCTCATTAACGCCGCTAATGAGCACCGCCTTCATTAAGGGGTTGAACGACCCCCCCGAACTACGGCTTCCATCACGCCCCGCGGCGCCACATCCGGGTCCCTCCAGCGGCGCACCCCACCCTTCCGCTCGGGCACTTCCTGCCTCAACCGAACCCCGACGCGCCATGATTGACGGGCGCGGTCTCCAATAGGGGCGCGCGGCGCAGAGGCGGGGACCAATAGGGGCGCGCGGGGCGGGAGGCGGCGGCAGTGGGCGGGCCCGGGCGGCTCCTCCCGGCGGCGGCGGCGAAGATGGTACGTGAGACCCCCCGCCCCGAGCGCGGCCCCGGCCCCGCCACCGCCACCCGGGGGGG